CTGAACTGAGTCGAACTGTGTTTGACTCGAGCAACTACTCTTTTTTTGAAAGTCTTCAACAGTCCTTTCAACTGTTTCTCAGCATTGGTCGTTATTATCATTTGGTGATTTGGTACGATACAACGTTAGCTCATTGCAGTGAATTAGTCGAACAAAATAGGACGATGAATAAACGGGGTATGGGTGGGTGTGGGTGAAGACAAGACCTAAAATCATACCCATAACCTCACCCACATCCTCTTTCAATATGAGTCAGATCATACTATATATCTGTTTAGCACAATGAAATCGATTTTCATTTAGAGTTATCAATACTAATTAATCTTTTGGTGAACACATATCACTAATCGAGTACATCTTTTAAAAAATCCTCTACTTTTTCTATTGTTGAGATCACTACTAGTATTTCGGAACTCATCTTGATATTTGTCTATACGTTATTTCCATTAATACAATGAATTATATTTATTGCAAAGCTTTTCTCAAATATTAATATTCGAAGGATCGTGCCGGAAAAAATATGAATGTACTTATATTTTAAGTATCTAACAACACTAGCAAGTTTTCTTGTTAATCAATTTTGGCAGTGCATTTTCTTAGTTTTTGTCAAAAAAAAATTTGTTTTAACTAAGTTTCAACAACATTAGTTTACATTCTCACTTGTTCCGCCAATAAAGATTGTGAATCCTAATGAAACGAAGTCGCAATATATTTATATAAAGAGCATTAAATGAAAGGTGGTCCAAGCTATGTATTCGGGTTAAATTTCACCGTTGAATTAAACACCTGGGCTCCGATTCATCCTATAATTCCTATTTTTTTGAAAAATCCTATATTTTGTCCTATATTTCGATTGATTTTCCTATATTTTGTCAAAAAAGTGGAAAAATTCTATGAGACCTGACTTTTTCCTGAGGGGGGAGTACAGGGATCATCGCGGCGCTACCCCCCCCCCCCCCCCCGGTCATCAGTTTTTACGAGAAAACCGGATCATGTGAATAGCTATTTCTGGCAAGTAAAGCACATACATTTGAGGTACGGTTCGGCGTACAATACCTAAATTGTGGTCAATTTTTTACTTTTTTTTTAGCGAAAACAATCGCATAATTCAGAAAACGAAATCCTATATAGGAATTCCTATAATTTCGAAAATATTTAATTGGAAGCCAGTTTATAACAGCTTCATTAAAACGATATTCGAGCAGAGAAGTTAAAAAACGCCAAAACAAATGAACAGAAACGATCTATAAAAAATCCTATATTTTTGTCATTTTTTATCGAAAATCCTATATTTTAGACAAACTTGATCCTCTAAGGATTCCTATATTTTAAAAAAATCGCAATCGGAGGCCAGATTAAACACATTACAGTTTCGTTGCGAATCAATCTTTATTTATGTTTGAATAGATAAAAAAAATTATATTTACTTTTCATTGATTCGCGTGTATATAACATAAGCTTCTTGTGTTTTGAAAAGGTCAAAAGAATGAATAGCACGCTCGATTTATTTGAAGCACTCCATTGTAATTGATAATATACTTTCATTGACTTTTTAGATATTTCTTCTTAGGATAAGATGTGGGTGTGGGTGTGAATTTAACTGAACAGAACGCCAACAACCATCCATCCAAGTAAATGAAATACAAAATTTAATTGTTTTTATTTTTTAATTTTTTTTGACGGATAGTTTCATTTCGTTTATCAATGTTGCATTTGTTGTTACATGGTCTCAATAGGTAGCCTCACGCAGTTCAATCCATCAACTAACTACAATGTTGAGAATGACCAGATGTAGACTGAACAGAGCAGAAATAGAAAAGAAAGGTACTGTTCATGGAGAGACAAAATTCTCAGTAAAAGTGACGGTTTATTTAGATGTATGTGAACAAGAACTGAGAGTGCTTATGATTTTGGAAGATGGAACGATCGATGAAGAAAGATACATCAATGACATTCTTTCAATACCTCTGAAATTCGGGAACAAAACTTTAGGAAACAGACAGGCATATCAGCAAAATGGCGCAAGGTCTCACATGCATTACCTGAGTCAAAAATGCCGCCCTGATCATTTTCTTGAATCTATTCCAAAGATCCGTTGACCGTCAAAGTCGCTTAATTATGGTCGTTAGATTATAGTTTGCAGGATGAATTAGCTGAAGTTATCTGTCAGGACCATGTAATAATAAAGACAAAACTGATAGACGAACTGAAACCTTCAGTGAAAAAAATGAACAAATAAAAAAAAAACATTTTTATTCTTCATTTGGCTATTCGATTAAATTTAATGCAATATTTATTCTACGTCACTCGATATTTGATAACAATATTGTCCGAAAAATATTTAAAGTAATAGATTGATTTGTGTTTTTGTCATTGTTACCAATAATCAATCATAAGATGTTAGTAAATGAAATATCAAAACAACGAAATTAACATTGAGACATTGCTCAGTATAATCATACAGCAAAATTTTTATTTCTCTCTCTCTCTGTCTTAATCAGCAATCTTCACTTCAGATATCAACTTTGATCCACGTACATTGATACATCATCCACAAATGAAATTGTCTTTTATTTGCAGCACCAAATCTACATACTGGAAGTTTGAAAACGAATGCAAGATGGATACAGAATAGTGCTACTGTGATTGAAGGAAATGTACGAGTGAAGAGCGCGCCCATTGTATCGTCCGCGAAAAAAAATCGATAAAAATAAATCTAATGATAGGAAAAAACTAAGTGTTGTATTTGATAGAACTATGTTGAATGTGTATGAAAATACTATTTTCCCTACACTTTCCTGTGATATGGTGGAGATTCACAATATAACCGGCTAAAAAGCCGTTGTACATACAGCGTGACCGTCATTTTTTTAAAATTTTGTGTAATAATTTTGTATCAACTAAATTTATGAAGCAAACTTTTTTTACTTCTCAAATTATTTTCCTCTTATTTTTCTTCGATATCCATTCAAATTTGTTCGAATGAAGTTTCTTCAAACGAAATACCAATGACTTTAATGTCGCTCTACACTTTCTTAGTAAAACTAAATTTTTTCTTGAAAGGAGAAAGTTTTTCGCTTGATTTTTTTTGAAATATTACTCTGCACTATGAGCTGAAAAAGGATCAAATTTATATGGCAAACAGTTTAGTTTTCATTGAGTTACAGCAATAACAAAATTTACAATGTCGCTCTACATTTGGAATGAACATCGTTTTTTTTATTTAGTGTAAATTTTTGTATTAACGAAATTTATGAAACAAACTTCTTTTATTTGTCAAATTACTTCCTCTCTACCCCCCCCCCCCGCTTTTCTTTTCAAAAAACAATCAAATTTGTTCAAATGAAATTTCATCAAACGAAAAGCCAATGATTTTAATGTCGCTCTACACAAAAAATGAGAAGTGTCTTAACACCTATTATTGATACTTTTTTCATCAATAAAACTTTGCCTGAAGCTAAAACTAAGGACATGTTCTGAAAACTCTTGAAGAGTTCTATAACTGTATCTGCAAAAATGATTTTAAAAAAGTCGCAGTGGAATTTTAAAAAATTGGTTTTATTTTGCCAAATGGCGTTGAAAGCTAGGTATTTGACATTGTTGTTATGATTTCTCGGAAACTGAAACAGATGGAAGGCTGATTTTTTTCAGAAGTGAATGGCCATCTTTAGACCAGTAAAACAAAAAAAAGTTATCAAAATCCATTGAGCAGAACTCGACTTATAAGGATTTTTCTTTTCGGGACTCAACGGTACAATAGGCGCGCTCTTCACTCATACATGGTAGTGGAATGAATCAACTCTGCTCTCCATGAGGTTTGCATATTGATAATGATCAAATTGTTTACACTGCTGGCTGCTACAATCATCGTATTGCGGAATGGATATGTGCTGCGGTGACTTCTCGAGTTGTGGTCGGTGAAAATGGACAAAGAAACCGTCCTGATCAATTACAGCATCGAGCAGATGCAACTATTACCCCATCATTTGTGATTATGGTAATAAAAACGTAGTTCGATAGCCTCATCAAAATAATACAAATGGAAAAACAATCATCTGCAATATTGGATACTCGGGATTGACAAAAAACGGTAATAATAATGGATTTCTCTATGTTGTTGATAGAGATAACAATGAAGTTAAACGGTTTAGAATTAAGGTTCAAATTGATGAACAGGATTGAAAAATGATTGAATTCTTTCTATCGATCACGCATTCCAATTAAACAATTGGTCACGGTTGCCTGTTAACCACTGCAAAGTCTGGCAACTCTCTGAAAATCTGATTGAATAACTAAGATCTACGTCGAATATCTGAATCGGAGCAGTATCTAGCTCGATTACTGTTTAATCCATAGGTTTTCTCTTGAACATGATGGTCAAATGGAATGAAAATAGTCAATTGAACATTTTTTTCCTCAAAAACTATTGTAGAAAAAACAAATTCATTGAAAAAGATAAAATGTGTTTGATTAGATTTTGCTTCACGTTCGAAATGAAAAAAGAAATCTAAATAAAAGCTGAAGAAATATTAATCATTGCGTCATGAAATACTGAAGATTATTTAGTCGACATTGATTCACAATAGTCATTGAGAAATTTGATATAAGAAAATAATTTTACGATGACGAGAATTTATGTCTAATCAAAGTTCAATCAAATCATATAAACAGATTGTAATCAAAACCAAAATTTTTTGAACTCCTAAGAAAATACTCGTTTCATAATGCCAGAACGAGAAACTGATGGGGTGTGGATGTGTAGGTATGAGTAGACAAACGAATCTTCGCACCCATACCTTCAAGAAATAAGTAAACAGATGCATAGACGAATTCAAATAAGAATCAAGCGATTTATAGTAACCGTACTACTTGTTTGTTATCTATTCACATCTAGAGACAATACAACAGATAAAAAAGTCCATGACTATCGGTAGTATTATTGTTCAAAGAAAAATTTGAACTCTCTTTATTATCTCGATGAACGTTAATGTATTTTGTATTTATATATCTAAATACTGATCACATTCCTCTAATTCAATAGTAGGAAAATCTTCATCTGATAATTCAGGACGTTTGACTGATTCCATTTTCTTCACTCTAAATACTGTATAAGGCATAATCAGTATTTCACCTTCCATTGCATATTGAGACGTATTTTCAATGTACAAAGCAGTGCGTCGATGTTTGATCTGATAGGTACACATAACCCATTGTTTGATCTTTTTTCCATCGGATTTGAGTCGATCGTTTTCACCGCTTTCTTTTCGTGCCAGTTCTTGTTGATATAAAAATAATACAGCAAGTTTTTCTTCAATCGATGATGATAAAAATGACTTTGTCATTAGTGAACATCCAACTTGATACTTTCGAAGATCATCATCAGTCATTTGCATAGTTCGATAAGACATGCCTATGAAGGAGAATTCATCTAACTTTGGATGGTGTGAAAGTAGTGCAATAATGTATCTTCGTTCACTTAGACATTTATTCCCACCACCTGCTAGTTCTTTGTTGAAAACTTTATAGAAATCAGTTTCAGCTGTATAAGCTTTGATGATCCATAATGGATTTTCTTCTTCAATTGCTCGACGAAAAAAGCGTTTGATTTGTTCAATTCTATTAAAGTGAACTAAACTTTTACTAATGTAATTTTTTTCGATTCTTTCAAACATTTTAGCGATAGAATTGGTACTGTAGAGTGACTTAATAATTTTACGCTCTTCCGCCGCTTTGTCTAAAATATCATCATCATCAATTAATTGCCATTCAACAGCACCTGTATCCGATACCAATCGACTACTAGTTGGTATACGAAAAAATAGTTTTTTGATTTCATCATTTTTGGCTTCATCAAATGGTAAATTGTTATATTTATTCTGTATTGTTCTATCAGCTCCTGCTTCTAATAATAATTTAACGATTTCTACATGACCATGATAAGATGCAGCATGTAATGCCGTACTACCATTTGGTTCTACTCGGTCTATATCTTGACGTTCTATCTTTTCCAGTAAATTTTCAACTTCTGTAATTTTATTGTTTCGACAAGCCAAATATAAATCACTACATTTGTTAGATGATGTCATTGTTACTTTGATTTTTGGTGCTGCCAATTCTTCTATTTGTGATTTCGTTGCTTCTACTGTTGGATTTGTTACTGATGAATTTGTAGTCGTTGGTAGTAGAACTGACTGTGATGTTGGTATCTGTTCCACATTTGTAGTTGTGATTGATTGATCGGGAGAACAATTCTCTGGATGATTTGGGTCAGAACGGTTAGCGATGTTTTTTCCCCGACGTTTAAATGCAAATGTTTCTAAACCTTTAATCTTTTGAGAAATCCAATTCCCCATATATAACTTGAACGTTGTCGATGAAATAAATAAAGAAAAATGATTAAAATGCAAATACTAAGCTTAAGAGAAAAAATATTTTCAGATTAACTGACTACTAATTATTTGTATGCAACTAAAAAAATGGTTGGTAGATAAACTTCACGTAGTGTCTTTTGGACATGTTTTTTTTTGTTGCTAAAGATAAAGGAAGAGCGAAATGACGAGAAAGATGATGCATTAATAGATAACAATAACGTGTTTCTTATCATTGTGAATGTGACATTGCTGGAAAAACGTAATCATTCTTGATTGTAGAAATAGTCACTTGATTTAATTTAATCATTTTGATTTTAAAAAGCAAAGTCTATATTGCAGATATATTCACCTTTTCTAAGTTTACAACTCACAATGATTAGTCATGATGAACAGTCATCAGTCACTGTAGCGTCAAGAATTTAAGTTAAACTACTCAATTTAAGTTAGATCGATTTTAATCTTATTATTAAGGTGTAACTGTAGGTGTGGGTATGTGGGTATATGGTCTAGTGGGTGTTGTTGGACGCAAAGAAGATAAAGATCGACACTCAAACCTACCCATTCTCACCGCCACACTCTTGTCCACCAACATCCTCTAAAGAGGAATATTTTGTCATAATTTAGATCTATAACAAATATTCGTAAGATCAGCTATTGAGTGAGTAGAAGCAATAGATAATATGTTAATTATTTTGATTGATTAGATATAAATTTTCGAAGGTTGTTTCGTTCATTTTTTTTCATTCTCACGAAATTTTCTTTATCCTTTAAATGAATTAGCTTGTTATTTCAATCTTTCGGTTACTTGAAAGAAACAAATTGAAATAAAAAGCATAAAATAAAAGTTAAAAAACCAGAATTGTAGCTTTTTTTTCATGATGCAAGACAAGATTATTATTTGATGATTTTGATTTACTCAATTGACTTGTTGTTGATGTTTTATTATTAAGATTTATCTAAATAAAATATAAGAATAACAAATATTTTCGTATACAATAAGACAAACTTTTTCTTCTAAGCAAATATTACACAGAGTATTTGATGTAGGTGATTTTCATCTTATTCGTTTTATTTCTTGAAATGCTTACGAAATTAAAAAAACTGATAATGATGATGAATAAAAAGGAAAAGAAAGAGGTAAAATTGAAAGTTGAATATCTTTTGTTTTTCTTTCTGATCTTCTTTTTTTTGTTCAATTGATTCATCAAAAATTCTTTTGTACTAATATTAGTTTTCCAGACTTTGTTTCATATTTAATCGTTAATTGTATAGCGATTGAATTTATCAACTTATGAATTTGAAAAAGCATGACATTCTCGAGTCCATTTAAAAGAAAACTAAACAACAAGCATTAATTAGAATTTATTTATTTTTTCTTCTCAACGTGCGACAATCATTTTAATTAAACATTGGTTTTCATTATTCGGATATACTTCATCATCAATTGTATTAATAAATAATTTCATTTTAAGATAGCTTCTCTAAATATTAAAAAAATAGAATTTTGGAGAAAAAAAGGCCGAGCGTCAAGGTGAGCTTGTTCACTATTAATTGGTGTAAACCTCATGAAAGAGAAATATTTGGAACAGGGGATCATGGAAAAAACGCAAAATATGATTGAACACGAAATTAGAACAGATATTTTTAGAATTAAATAAAAATTAAAAAAAAAACTAAGAATAAAAGCAAAACAAAACTGTCGAAATTTATTGTGTTTTTGATGTTATTAGTAATGCATCTGTTAAATCATGATTCTTTTAGAGGGTGTGGATGCTAAGTATCTTTTCAATTACGTTCACACTTGCACCCACACCCACACCTTGCTATACACTTTTTGTTTAATAAACGAAAATATGTTCGATTGATAGTGACAATTTTATTGTAATTAAATTAAAAAAAATAGGATAAAAATACAAAAGTGAGAAGAAAAGAAATGAGCATGAGTGCTAGCTATGTATAATAAATTAGACAGCCTCACCCTCAAGATAGAAAAAAAATGAAAAAAAAAACAGAAAAAAATATAATCATGTCCTTCGAAAGTTCTTGATTATTGAGGTAACAATGATCAGCTAGATTAGTATTTTCTGCAAACGAAAAAAAAAAAGATTTACTAAATTTTATTGTACAACAGGAATAAATGCCTAACTTACAGATTTAACTCGGAAGATATCATTGAAATGTGTTTCTTGCATTGGAAAAACTTGGGGTCCTATCCAACAAAAGTCTAGTAAAAGATGAAGTTCTTTTACAATCATATTGATATTTGAAAAAAAACTGCAAAGCTCACTACACTGACAAGATAACTTCTTGAGACGTCCAGACGTTTATGGACAAAGACTATATACAGTCGATAAGGACTAATCAGCTTATCTTCACCTGTAATCGTAATTTACAGTAAAGACATACGATCCAAGCACAGCGGAAAATTCAGCCATCCATCAACTGAACAATAGGAGTAATGAAATCAATCAGTCATACTATAAAGAATTTTAAGAAATCAACTAAGAAAACTTAGGCATGTAAAGAACCCAAGTCTTACGGGTAGGATTCGGATTCGTGCTTGAGAAAAATTGTCCCATTTACTGAATACACGGAAAATTAGTAAGCCAAACAAAGATTTCAGTCGAATACTGTCATAAATTGGGGAAAAACTATTAAGTCTAACACATCATGACTGAAGATCATATGCTAAATAAATAATCTCTAACGAGGTTACTTTCTAATATTACGGCCTCTTTGGAATATGACAGATATTACCTAAGGATTAAGAAATGAATACTCAATGAATGATTAATTCTGATCAGGATTCTATTTGAATACTTTACTCATGTCTGAGGAAAATCTTTCAAGGATCATCGTATGATCTATAAAAACATATCAAATGAATAATTTATATTTCAAAAGCTTTGATCCAAATAGTTGCGTTATCGAGGACAAAACGTTCAGTGCTCGCGATGTGATCAAATACACATTGAAGAAGTACACTATCGAATTCGTCGATCAATCGTTCAACCGTTTCTTGTCAAAATTAGTAATTGAACAAGTCAACCTAATCAATAGTAATGCGACTCTTGAGAAAGTGGTTATTGTTATGGGGATATCAATATCGGCCTATTTCACATACGGCTAAACTATGAGAACGTTCTCCTTTAAGTTTCATATTTCATGAGAAAAATGGCTGTACAATAGCCAATTATTGTTGCACGCAAGTTTAGTAACCTGCAATAGCGACTCTCCTTCAATGCAAATAAAGAAAACTTCAGATAGAATTCCTTCTGTATGGAAATCTGACATCCGAATCAAAAGAAGATTTATAAGTCTCTAGTCTTTAATCTCTTTAGCTGAACTATCTTTATCCCAACAAAGAACATACCCTTACTCATCTTATAGCATCGAAGTCAATGGCAGAGAAGCAAAAATTGAGAGCAACAAATAGAACTTGTTCTAATTACAGGTTGCTCAAATTCCAACATCATACATTCACACCTCAAAGTGCTTTGGCACGCTCGCGATAGAGCTTATGGAGATTGTGAGAGACCTGTTTATTTGCTGCCCAAACAGTTTTTCAGCTTTTTCAATAGTTCTCTCTTTATCCTCGAATAAAAAACTCGTCTAAAATATTTTCCTGCAGACCAGTAATGAATAAACATTTTTTTTGCCGAAACTTTCGATTCATCTGTTAGTTAGATAAATAACTTAATCGATAGGCTATTTCAAACCCTCATCTCCAGGAGTGTCTGTGCAAAATGCTTGTTACATAACCATTTTTGAGCCTTGCCCATTGTAGATTCGCTGACAAACTGCCCATGTGAGAAACTGTGAAACGTTCTTTCTCTTCTCTAACTAAAGAACTTTTCACGTTTTGTAACACAACTGTTTTTAGAATGTACAGTACAATCGTATAGTCATGATAGAAGATCTTCCATCAATAGAAATACCGACTGAAACTATTCTACGCTGTATAATTTTAAGGTATAGAATGTTTCGATTATCTAACTCGCTGATGAAAACATCTCTGAACTGCTTTCGCTTCTTCTGAAAGATGTGCATGTGAACATAGTCTGAGATTAATACATACACTTTACAGTAAATTATCGCCCAAATTATATCGTACCTTAAATTATGCAGATGCTCGTAATCTAATTCGTGGTCTACCAACAAATCATCGAGAGTTGGACAAAATCGTTTGTTACTAGTAATCAAACGGATAAGATCAGAGGATTTACGGAAGTGGCATGACGAGCAAACATTTGTAGTCGGCGCGATGCTTGCTGGACAAAAAATAGTGAGCTTGATTAAATAAGAGTGGTACACTCACGTGCTAGATATAGAAAATTAAATTTCGCAATGATTTTTTCATCTTGTGAGGCAACGATCGAAACAGTTCGATTTCGGTCATCCGGCACCATTAAACACGCTGGTGTCTGGAAATTAATTGTCTTCATATCAACGAATTCGTATGCAACATTCTTTTTCTGATTCAATTCCACATAATCAAAATAAATACGAAGTGCTTCAACAAAAACAGAAATATTGTGAATAAAAATTAGAAATTAGAGCGCACCTTTTTTTCGGTCGACTTTATTAAGAACCATCAAAATATTGTCGCCACCTGCCCAGTTTCCTTTTTCTGGTGCACATATGGCAAATTTCTTATCCTCACCATTTGTTGTGATTACCGGATCAGCAGGGGCTTCGTCTAAAAAGGAAAACAGAAGATGTCAACAAGATAGATACAGTTTCTTCTTATAATTATTACTTTTTTTATTCATTTCGTCAATCATCACTTGTGATGATACCGAAGTGTCAGAGAATATATTAAATACATTATCATCAACGCGCTTGGCTAAAGAAAAAACAAGTTGTGATTTCCACAATTGATATAATTTGATTAATTGTTTGCTGCGTTGTTTATCCGTAATACAAGGAAAATGTCTTCGATCTTTCAAATGAACATGAAAGTAGTTTTATGGTTATCATCATTTTCTTACCAGAGTCAATAATGTGTAAAGGGCTATGGGATCTGAGTTCCCTTTGTAGTAACTTCTTGCGAGTTAGGTGAAAACTAAAGAAGAAATCAAAATTGAAACAATGAAGCACTTATGTCTTTTTTTCGTACCTTTTTTGACCGCTCATGAAATCGTCATTTGTGATCGGGAAGTAGATGGCATTGTTAGAGCGATCTTTCACAACATTAGGCTCATCACTATTAATCGGATATGGATGCATACACGCCATAGATACATTTTCATTGGGTACAGTGACAGAAGCCACACGTATATATGGATGATCAATGGTTCCATACCATGTTCCTGATATCTAATTAACGAAAAATAACGAAATATTTTTCTGTGTTTGAGTAATAGACACCTAATTTGAAATACGAAAAAAAAAGTCAAAGTTAAATGAACCAAAAAACAATGGAGAAGTAGTGTGTTTTAGGTTCACAAGACATGATATAGGAAGCTTGCAAGAGAAAATATTTAAGTACTAATCGCAGACTCGAACGAGTTATACCCTGAATGATAGAACTTGACGAGCTGGTTACCATGATAGCAAACGTTTTCTCCATGGTATATTCTGTAGGCTCGTCAGTTGCAGTTAACAATAGGAAATGTCACATACAAGAATATAGTAGAGAAGTTTGTATTGAGAAATACTCATGGAGAAGAATTCTTTTAGAATGGTAGTGATTGCTGTTGAAAAATGAAGAAACATCACAGTTCTATATAAAACTTTGATCTGTCTTGAAAGTGGAATAGGAATCTTTCACATATCAAAACGGTCGATATTCTGGCTCAATGTAGCTCCAAGTCGACCAAGTATATGAAACCATAGAAGCAAAGTTGATTGTGAACAAGCGTTTGAGACTTGATCGTAGCATTAAAAGTTATCAAATACAATACACAATGGAGCAAATTTAGTGTTGTCCTTCTGTTCTAAAAGTTGATTGGACCATACTTAATTCATTATTAGGTTTCCTTAATGAGGCGTGATTCTTTTCTACCTATAAAAATCCTACGTGAGTAATACAAAACACTATCTCTGCTCATATAGCTGAACTATCTGATCAAAGTTACTTTCTTACCTCTGATTACTACTCATGTAAAATGTACTATGGAGGAAATCATTTTCTACCATCGTAAACAGCGGATTGAAATCTATCGACAAAAGTATGATTGGTTTGTACCGGCGATAAACACTTGAATATATTCCCTCCTGAATCCAATCTCACAAGTTTCAGAGAAGAGTTTGTGAAAGAAATCTAAATGTGCATTCTTAGCTTCTAATATCTAGGAACACTCATTGCTATCAAACAAAATGATACAGTTCTTGATGCCCATTGATCAACAACAGGCTTTTTCAATCGTCTTAACTTGAATTGAAATGAAAAAAAAATGTTTGTCACCAATTGAATGAAGCTCAAATTTTGCCGACAAAGACTGTTAACAGTAGTATCGACCTCCGAAGTATGCCTTCCTTCTTAAAAGCTTTCAGATCTTCGGATAGATTTGTTGACAGTGATAACACGATCGTTAATTGTCAAACACTTTGGAAAACTGAAAAAAGCTAGCAATCTATCATCTATCCATGTCTATAAGATAATTTTATCTACCAATAGGATGAAAACTTTTTCGAACTGAACATACAGTTTTGTCTCCATAAAATTAAGGTCCTCAGCTTTATGAACATAATGATACTTTTGGTTGAGACTCGAAGTTTTCTGAACTTTTCTTCGGACATAAGGAAAGGTTTTTAGCTATTTAGCACGTTGAGTGCAAATGCCTGTAGCTGATTGTTACTATCCACTGTACTTGGATACTGAAGTATTGGAATCTTCAAGATATTGAGGTAAGAGAGAGAGTTTTCACATCTCTTTTTTCTCGGCGGTATCCAAGAAAAGAATTGTGTCTAGAGAAACTTGATAGCAGGGGGCTCTCCAGACCAGTACTTGCCACGACCGCGACAAAGTTGTGTGTACCTTGTATCGATGAATATCCTAATACTCATGAATATGCTGTTACTCTAATACTTAGTGACATCCTACGTACCGTAAATATCTCATATGCAGCATATACTCTGATAAAAATCTAAATAAACTATTTGTGGTTTCGGAGTTCGAGTGTCATTGAAATGCATCTACCAGTGAGATCTCTACAGATAAATAGAAAAACTGATAATTGTATTCTTGCCTCGATCGAAAGAAAGTCAGCGAAGCTTTGATACCATTAAATATATCAAGTATGAATGGGATAATTGTCTATGAATGTTCTTGCACAAAGTCTAAAATGATCTGAGTTTCATGCGTTATGTACTTGATGAAATTTCTTCTAGTTGGTTCATCGTTTCTTTCGAACTATAAAACTTTTACTTTTCTTGTCTCTATTAATTGAAATCGACATTAGTATTGATTTTGTTACCTCTATAGTTGGATATTCGAGATTTAACTGATTATTATCTTCAGCACGAATGTAACGTTTAGCTGTATTTTCAGCTTGATCTAGTTCGCTTCCATATCTTTCACGAAAGAATGCCTTGGGTTGTGCAATAATTCGAAGTTGTTCCATTTGTTCAGTCATTGTGGAACTTTGACTTGGTTAGTAGATGAAAAGTTTGTAGAGAAATTCGCAAATGATAACGATGAATGCAACGAGATTGATATTGATATTGAGCTATTGGCCTTTCAAGATCGAGAAAAGCGAAACTGAATTTCAAGATCTAGAGAAAGTAAAAAAAAAAGGATAATTCGATGAAAATTTCAATAAAAAATTCCTATCATACTTAAGTCGACACTGTCAAAAACATGAGATCATTTATGACATCCTCTAGATATAAGCAAAACTGATAGACGATTACATTGTGTATTATTAACTACGAACAATATTTTACAAAGTAACAAATCATTCATGTTATCTACACTATACAGATAGCTTGCATCTTTCGTTCTGTTCATTCGTCTTCTTAATCCACGACAAAACCTAGAGAACGAATCCTATGATGATCAACTCAGTAACACGACAATACAGTGACCATTGAAGTAGTATTCGGACCGACGAATTATCGAATCTTGAAGATAACTATACAAACTCGAAACTAAATGTCTTGAAAAGAGCAAAATGAAGCATTAACGAACACATTGACTTTTCTCTCGAGCGAAATCGAATACAAGAAAACAATCATCACCAAGTTTATACAAACATGAAATACAACAATATACATAAAAGCCAACCCTCCACAACAACGATGTCACCCGCAGCACTATTCCGGTACTTTAATTTGAACCGTGTATGTGATACACAGACTGCTGCATGTATCTACCTACGGATCTGGGTATGATTAGAGAGATCAATTATGCATGTAAAATGAATCTAGTATACAGAATTTACACGAAAGCAGCTAACAAGATACGATTTTTCCTAGTCTATGCCACTCCTACAGTATAGTTCGAGAAACTAATGGTCAAAAGAAACTGATTCGATACACTATTCGACAGCGAATACAAACTGGGCTTCACAACTAAGATACCAAGTTCGTACTCAGTTGCTGTTCTCAAAATACCTGTTTAATGGAATGCACATGTTTTCCGTAATGAACTTAACCAACGGTATCCAGCAAATATCACAATCGAACGATTTTATGTGAAAAGTAAGAAGAAGCTACGGCAATTACTGAAAACTAAGTGAATGTTAATGGACGAAGAGTATACTAATTATGCTATTGAACCATATAGATTACCAACATGAGTTCTACGCTGCTACATTTGTCAAGAATACGACGAAAGTAAACAATGCAGCTATGGTCTTAAACGGCCTGTAAATCACTCGTTTGGTATCGACCGAATTATTGTCGTGTCGTAAACGACTGCATGCCGGCACCTTTTATAGCAAAATCTGTATCAATATATCGTCGTATTTAACCATTAACGGTAGTATAAAGTATGGTTTCGATCATATGTCGTCTTAGCATGTCGCACATATTGTCAAGAAAAGATTTCACTTATGATTACTCGATCATTCATGTCGCCTTTCAAATATACAACTACGACAACAAATATCGCGTACCAATAAAGCCCTTAAAAACCCTTTTGAGCGAAAAAATATTATTTTTCTACATGAAAATCGCTTGTATCGATGGTATGGATTACAAAAAAAGCCTTATGATACCTAATTCCATCAGAATTCAGTCGTTCCAATTAAAAACCTCGTATTTCCAAGCTGATGCAGAGAAGATCTGTAAAGACATTTTTTAATTAAACTAATTTTCCTACAGAGAAAATCATCTCCTATCCAAATGTCACATACGAAAAAGGTTTGAAATGCCTGATTTGATCAGATTTCAATCGTGGATATGTTACATTATCTGATTGTAATGTGTGAAAAACATCTTTTTCAGATGCATAAAAAGTAAACAAAGTACTGCTGTCTAACTCACTTTCAAGATTTGGACATCAGGGGACAACACGTTAGATACCCGCACACAACTGAGTCATTTTCGCTGAATATGTCTTTTAATCCTTTTTTTCCTCTTTGTGACTGCTGTGCTATGATGACTGATCCTTGATTAAAGAGAAATACGAGGGTAAGATATCATATTTTTCTTCACTCATTCCATGTTGCTGACATAAATGCCTTGAATGGATTTTTTTTTCTAGTAAAACGGCGTTTTCGAAGAAAAACTGGTTCTCGATAAGCGTTGATCTACGGCTTTCCGAGTAGAAGAACCCGAATCTGTGCTGCTCGATTGACAAAACTGAGCCATTTTTTCTCATTCATGAAGAGTTTTAAGAGAAGACAATCATTCATTATATTGTGCTCCTCTAAATCATCAGTATGATAGGTGTTGATGTGTTGCAAACATCGTATACAGTACCATAGTTTTGCACTAGCTGTTAACAAGGACTCTATATACAGTGATTGTATACGATGCATGTGAAACACCATAAAAAAGTCTATGATTGTTTGTAAATAGTCACTGCATATGACTGCTCTGATTAGTGTAGGCTATGTTGCATCGAATGCAACGTTCTTCACCTCAAAAGGTGGTCAGATCCATGAGATAATCTTAAAATACAGGATAAATCATCAAGATAACCATTCATAGAGGCCAAAATGTATTTTATATACTAGTTTGGCTTCTATTTTGTCTAGACAAAACGAAATTATCAAATACTTTGAGTTTTGAAAGGATGTTTTATTTCAGAAAAATAAGTTGAAAAAGCAGCTTTTATTTCCGGGAGGCTATCGGTAGCGGAGCCCATTGGATCCGCCGAATCGAAAAAATTTTTGATGGATCTAATAATACTTCATGGATTTCTCTAAATTTTTGTTCTCTTGATTCAGAAAAGATAAGAAAAGTTTATTAAGAGATTTAAGACATCCTCAACAGGATCCGAGTCCAGAAATTCTTGAACCCGATGGGCTCTACTAGGTAGGAGTGTCACTGTAAATCTACTTCATATGTTACAGTTATAGGTAAAGCAATACATTTAAAAACTTTAACTTTAAAAAATTAAACTATATTATCTATACCTACATTTGTCTACTGATCAATCAGATGTGCGGAAGTTATTTCTTTGCTATTTTAAGGAAAAAAACCATCATGTTTTGTTCTGACAATAGAAAAAAAGTCTTGCTTAAATCTGATCCACTTAAATCTTTTTTTATGTCGACCTATTGAATTTCAATAACCATTTTTTTCTTCTATGGTGAGGATACAACATGGTATGGTTTGGGAGTACTGGGAGTTTCCAGTGTCCTCTTTAATATGACCCGACGAACTCTATTTTTTCTTTTTAAAATAGCGAAGAAACACTTTCCTTGCATCTGATTAGTCGTTAGAAAAAAGCTATCAGCCTATCAGGTTTCAGCAGAGTTTTTCCTTCGTATATTGAGGACAAAGCATATTGCTATTAGGCTCATATGAGAGATGAGCCGAAGCAATGATTCCTCTAGAAAACAAAGATAACATTAAGGAAGAAATCAACAATGATTAGCTGGAGGATTGTAAATAATAGTATTCAACTCGAATGTTTTTAGAGTTAAAGTTCTGACGAACCGTTCCGAAACTCTACGTCGAATAAGTGTCGATATATATCGAAAAATAACTTCAATGACTCTTTTTTTTTAAATTCTTTCCCTCATTCAGATCTGAGTGAGAGTGGGCAAAAGTGTAGTGTTATGGAGATTGAAGGGCTTGGTGTGGATCGTTCGAAATTATATTTAAGTATTTTATATCTCAGAGTCTTCAAAGAAAAATGCTTGGTGTGAAGTGTCATCAATGGTACCTTTCACGATCTACTTATTAAGAATATCTTCGAATTCAACCACATCTAGTGTCCGTTGCAGTGCATTTTTCTGATACACTACTTTTTGAAATATGGCATGAGATGATGGCTTATAGGCTTATTGTGAGTTGAAATATATAGGAACTAAAGAGGATCTAAATGTAATTTTACACAATAAAGCAAAATAGTTGCTATCTGTTTCAGATTACCTAAAAACAAAAGAAAAAACATATTGTATCTTACGCACATGGTGAGGTAATTGAGGGCACAAGAATAAATGTAGATTTACACAGTTACTCGTTTGTTTTTTAAGCGTCACACGTCAGTTGATGCACAAGCTCAAATGTAGGAAAGAAAGAAGCAAAATAATCATGTAATTAACAACAATATGTCGGGGGGCCATTTATAGTATGTAAAAAAATTATTTGGACCTGTTAGGATCGACATCTACAAGACATATATAGATGGATGATTCTTCGTCTTTTTCTTCTATCGCTTCCAATTCTAGATATTAAAACTTTGAAATTATTTTTTTCTGTCAAGTGATAAAAAATATATAATTTGTTGTTGTTTTCTCGGTGAGGTGGCGCTTTTTTCTAGTCACTGCTGTATTTTTTGTTGTGAGTTTCAATTTCTTATTCTTTTTTAATCTCTCTCTATGAGAGGTTACTTCATTCGACTCCTCTTAATTCTCTCGCTGGCTTGAATAATGAATAATCATCATAAAAGAATAACAACTAAGGAAAGAAAACGAACAGAAGAAAACCCAACGCACATAAGCAAATGGTGTGAAGACATGTGAGCGATATGTCTGTAACAATCCCATTCATTAATATGAATAGGGTCTACACAGATGGAAAATACAAAAAAAAATCAAAAAGCGAAGAGATAATGAATAATTCAAAAAGAACAGAATAAGCGAAAGAGAGAAAAAAAAATGTGTATGTCAACATAACGAAGAAAAAGAAAAAAGAATGGCTTGTAATAAAGCAAATGAAAATTAAAACGAATGTTCAAGTGTAGAGTTACCAAGTAACAGCTCACCAGAACTTAAGAGTAGTGGGACCATTCATAGTTGAAATGAACGATTAGAAGGTGTGAATGAATAGTGCTGTCGATGTCGATCTATGTAACCGTTGTAATGTACGATAATTAATTACGAGGAGAACAACGACTCAGCTCTACGAGCACTTTTTCAATCAACGAAACGATGTTGATAACAGTGTTTAGGCACAAATTGCGCGAGGAGTTATATTTGAGCGACGACAAAAAAAATATTCAACAGAAAAAGAAGAT